GCATAGGCGATCACCTTCTTATCCTGCATCAGAACGCACCCCAAACCTTGGTAGGAAGCATCACTATAGATAGAGTACTCCCCACCACTGGTCGGTAGTGCTAACACCGGTGCAGAGGTCAGCTTCTCCTTCAGTAACTCAAATGCCGTTTGACATTTCTTATCCCAAACAAATGGCTTCCCCTTCTGCAATAGTTGTGTCATAGGTCTTGCAATACTGGAGAAACCCTCAACAAACCTCCGATAATAGCCAGCCAATCCCAAGAAACTCCGCACTTCAGGGACGTTCTTTGGTGGTGACCAATTAATCACAACTTCTATCTTCTTGGGATCCACTTCCACTCCGCGACCCGAAATCATATGACCCAAGAACAATACTTCCTCCAACCAAAAGTCACACTTCGAGAACTTGGCATATAGCTTCTCCTCCTTCAATTTATGTAAAACAACCCTCAGGTGCTCTTCGTGTTCCTCCTTACTCCTCGAGTAAATGAGTATGTCATCTATAAAGACGATGACAAACTTGTCCAAGTATTCATGAAGAACCCGGTTCATTAGCGCCATAAAGGCTGCCGGTGCATTAGTTAGTCCGAATGGCATGACCAAGAATTCATAGTGGCCATACCGGGTCCGGAAAGCCGTCTTGGGTACTGAACCATCTACCACTCTCAACTGATGATACCCTGATCGCAGATCAATCTTCGAAAACACCCTCGCTCCTTGTAGTTGGTCGAAGAGATCATCTATCCTTGGTAAAGGATAGCGGTTCTTGATGGTAGCCTTGTTTAGCTTCCTATAGTTGATGCACAATCTCATACTGCCATCCTTCTTTTTCACAAACAATACCGGTGCTCCCCAAGGTGATACACTAGGGCGAATAAAGCCCTTGTCTAATAGCTCCTGCAATTGCTCCTTCAACTCCTTTAGCTCCACTGGCTCCATGCGGTATGGAGGAATAGATATCGGTGCTGTGCCAGGAATCACTTCAATATCAAATTCCACCTCCCGTTGTGGCGGTAGCCCAGGAAGCTCTTCGGAAAATACCTCAGGGTATTCCCTTACGATAGGTACATCTTCTATCTTTTTCTCTTGCACCTCCTTGACATGAGCCAAATAGGCTTCACATCCATCTTGAATCAGTGAGAATGCCTTAATCGCTGAGATTAAGCATCCAGGAATCAGCTTCTTAGTCCCTTTGAATAGTGCAGTGCCTTTTCCTTCTATCTCCAGACTAACCTCCTTCTTATAGCAATCCATCTTCGCTCTATTTTTGGATAGCCAATCCATACCCAAGATAACATCAAATTCGTCAAAGGGTAGCAGAATCAGGTTCGCCTCAAATTTGTGGCCCGCCATAGTGATAAGACAACCCCGAATGACTGAGTCTACTATTAGGGTATATCCCCTACTGGGGTTCTTACCCCTAAATTCTGACCCAATCTCACAGATGGAATCCCTATGATCCTAGCAAGCTTGGTCGAAATGAAAGAGTGTGTGGAACCAGAATCGAATAATACAAAGGCTGGCTGATGGTAAAGTGAGATCATACCAGTCACCACGTCGGGTGCAGTATCAGCTTCTTCCCTACTCATGGCAAACAGTCTTGGTTGCCCAGCCACTTGAGATCCTTGCCCTCGATCTCGCTCGTTGCGGTTGAACCGCTCTGCATTGCCTCCCTGTTGGTGATAGGACCGGTTTGGATTGTTGTTAAACTGCTGTCCGACTTGTGTTCTTCCTCCTCCGCCCCTGACTGATTGTTCAGACTGAGCTCTCCCTTGCCCTCCTTTCCTAGGGCAATCTCTAGCATAGTGGCCGGCTCATTGCAGTGATAGCATATGCCTCCCATGTGTACCTTACACTCTCCCGGGTGAGTTCTCCCACACTTGTTACATGGGTCCCGGTGAATATAGGTTGGCCCTGATCGGGTTGAGCCGGCATGGCTCTGAGTGACCCCATAGTAGTTTTGGCTCGGTCTCCTCCTCGAATGACTAAGCTGGCTTGGCCCCTCGGAAAGGCTGGCAGCCTTTCTCTTGTTCCCTTCTCTTTGCATCCCCTCCTCGTGCAGGGCTGTATCTGCCCTCTCCAACCGGAGAGCTGCTTGATAGATCTCCTCTCTCTGTTGTTCCAATTCAGCAAACTCAGCTGACGCCTAAAAGGAGGCTTCAGGCTTTCCAGGTAGTGGATGCGTTGTGCATGAGCATCCTAAAATTGAGGTCCTCCATAGGCAAGCAGTTTGTCAAATCTCGCCGTGTAGTCAGCCACGCTTTCTCTTCCTTCGTTGCCCCACCTCTGCCTTATTAGCAAGAATTCCCTCTGCTTCGTGATCCGATAGGCTTCTGGTACAAAGTGGTCTCGAAATAGCTGCACGAACTCTGGCCAGGTGATGACTGGTGGGTCCTCTCGGCTAGCTGGCTGGTTAAACCACCAATTGTAAGCAGTGTCTTGTAGCAAAGATACTGTCAGCAGTACCCTGCCCTCGTCATCAGCCCTCATTTCGATCAGGGTACGAGTGACCTTAGCTAGCCACTGCTCAACCTCCATGGGGTCCGTTGAACGGTCCCCCTTAAAATCCTCCACCTTTCTTTTCCGAAAAGCTATGTAATCTGGTGGAGGTCTCACTCGTGGTGGCACAAGCGGGGCGGGATTCTGGCCAACACTTGCTCTGTAGATACATACGATCTCATTAGAACTCAGTTATTTCTTTCTTTACATGGTTGGGAGTAGACTGGAGATTCTATAGACTCTTATAAGAAAATTCTTGACTCGTTTGGCCAAACCTTTAACTTAAAACTCACTTTCCTTTCTTTAAACAAATTTTTAAAAACTAAGACCGATATTCCAGTATTTCTTAGGAACCAAGAAACAGAGAAAGACCGGCTCTGATACCAAAATGTTACATCCCACCTTTTTAAGACATGTAAAAGACATTTCTACCCCGGGGTATATTTAAAAATTATTCATAAACACACTTAAAATAAATACACCAAACTTTAATGATTTGAAATCTCAATGACAAGCCCTAAACATGTGGGCAAAACTCCAAATCATATTTTTAAAAGAAACAAACGACCAGAATCTCCAGTTCTTAACTTTCAACCACAAAGTCCAAATAACTTAAAAGTTTTCCCCAACGCTTACTCTGATGCTTGGTCCGCCATGCTTTAACGACGATGATTTTGAGCCCCTCTAACCTGTTGTCCACGAACTATCTGATCTTGATCTCCTCCTCTACGATCTGGTGAGTGAGTTGGGGTCAGTCTACGCCATTACTTAAACTTGAAACACTTACGGATTATTACCTTAAGTTCCCTCAAACAATAAATTAGTGGAAGTTGATTATACTTTCGCCCTTTAAACTTTAACTCTTAAAACGTGGGATTTACTCTTAACCCCACTCTCAAAACTTTAAAACTTTAACCGACACTGGGATCCCCCACTAGCTAGTCCGGTTGCCCATCTCATACGTATGAGAGCCCATCCAGGCTTACTTGAACTTAAACTTAGTTAGGGGGAGTCATAACGATCATTCCCCCTAACATCTTATACTTATCATGGTGGCTCTTCACCATGATTCTCAAGAGCATAATTGCTGCTCATCTTAAAAGTCTCAAGAGCATAACTGCTGCTCATCTCAAAATCTCATATGGGCAACGGACTGGCGCTAGCGACTCAAAACTCTTAAAACTTTACACCTTCCTTGAAGGTGTTATACTCCTTAAAAGTAACTTACTAGTAATTAAATACATGTCATCAACTATATGACTGAAAACATAACTTACACGTAATATCATGCATCACGCAAACATACATAAGCATATATATCACATAGCAGCAAATCTCAAACGTAATATGTAAGGCGTAGATTTTACCCCCTTTACACTCACCTCTCAATTGCCGATACTTTAATTCCTTGGACGTGGAGTCTCTTAACCCGATTGCTTCTTTAATCCTATAAACTGAAATCATCTTCCCTTAGTCGGTAATCCTCATATTTAGTCTCTTTAACGTATTGGAAAAATTTCCCTCATTGATCACTTAGTCCCAAAATCCTTTAAAAATGGCCCTCAATCTCTTTTAAATCAATTCCTTAAAACTAAACTTTTCAACCCTTTAATCAAGAATTAAATCATCTCAACAATTCAATAACTATTAAAATAGTTCTCATAAATTTCTCAAAATATATTTTCCACTTAAGACTCCAAATTAGGACCTTGGTTAATTCAAATCATTAATCTCAATTAATAGACATAAGCGCCCTTTTAAATAACCTCTTTTTCCTATTAAAATGAATTATATATAATTTTTAAACCAAGACATGAAAACTAATAATTCCCATCCATAATTTTATAACATCAGTAAACAATCATAGTTTCATGGAAAATTATCTAATCACCAAAACGACTTTGTACAGTATTTTAATTAATTAAAACTAACATTCGTTTAATTTTTATAAATACAAATACAGATCCAAAAATTCTAAAATTTATACAAGAGCATCATACAAATATTCTCAAATTTATAAAATTATCATATTATGAAAATACCCACTGGAAAGTGTCGGAAATAAACATAACCATGAAACAAAATACAATTTTCGGGCCAAATTATCAAAACTTAAAACTCTCAGGGACTAAGCTGTATGTACTGAATTCATGGGGGACTGATCTGGACAATAGCCCAGCAATCTTTAGCGACCCAATCTATTCTGTCACTAAAAGGTTGTAATTTTCGTCACCAATTTTCCAGAAAACTATAACTCGTACAAACTCATACGTAATCAGTTTCGAATGCGAGGATCGTGGTTTCCTTACCTTGTATTCGTGCCTAGACGTCGATACAAAGATGTATGTCCTTTGTTCCTTGTTTAGGTCGACATTGGATGACCCCACGTCTTCCTCGTCAAAGCTACGGTGAAAGACATCCATGGTTAGTACCTACGGAGCTTTGAAGGTTAATAAAGGTTGTGATTCCATTGTTCTTACCTATGGTTCGAGAGACAGAGGAAGAGACTCTCGATGGAAACTGTTGCTAGTATCGTGGTAGCTATCTGATCGACGATGATAGCGACGGGAAACTTCGTGTGGCAAGGAAAGGATGGACAAAGTTAATGGCGATGAAGGATGAGTGCTGACGGTGTGGCTCTGTTCCGGCGACAACAAAGATGGCGACAGTGAAAAGTTTTTGGCGGTCGTGTTGTTTTGATGGATGGAAGGTTGATGGTGATGATGATGATGGTCGAGAAGGTGGGCTGGGGAAGCAGTAGTGGTAATAGGGAGATGGATGAACCGATAATGGTGGTGTACGGCCGGGTGGAGAAATGGTATCATTCCATGGAAGGGGGAGTTTATTTAAGCTTGCACCGACACTTCTCTACAGCTGCTAGTACTGTATGCTTCTTTATTATGCCAACTCATACTTGTTTTGTGAAAGAGACATAACAAACATTATCTTCTACTGCTGATGAAATAGTGTGATGGGCTAAGTTAGAGGTGGTGTTTCCCGTTGGCTCTCCATTGGGAGGGTGGGGATTAATTGGGGGTAATAAAGAGTGGAAGAGATGGAATTGTGTACAGATGGGAGGTGGGAATTATTTGGGAGTTGGGTTGACGTGGGGTGGGGTGGCTTTCCTTTTTTTTGTTTTTGTTTTTGTTTTACTAATAATAATAGTAATAATTATAATTGTTATTACTATTCCTAATCCACAGTCCTTTATACGTAACCCTCTATCCAATCGTTCATTTATCATGATCGAACATGAACTTAAATGTTGGGGTGTTACATTTCCTCCACCCTTATAAAAATTTCGTCCCCAAAATTAGAATTGTTGGATAGATATCGAGGTCAAACATTTGTATTCGACTGGGATTAGTTTGACTGGGATGTAACAATATTGATCGGTATTTCTTCTTCTGACAACGTGTTACGGTGATGTGGCGTAGGGGGTGGCGATTTTAGGGTTTTCTTGTAAAAAGGAATAAAACTCAAAGAGCTCTCAGAGGAAATAACTAAGGAAATAGCAAACTAAGAACAAAAGCTAACTATTGGGTTCCAATCTTCTTATCATTAAAGGAACGAAACAAGTACATATTTATAGGCACAAAGCCTCTACCTTTACCTATCTTGATTATGACTCATAAACCTCTAAGGATAGTACTAACAAATAACCAAATCCTATACGAACAAGGAAAACAATAATAAAGACAATAATAATAAAAGCCTAATAGTGTACTAATAATAAAATACTAAAGATACGCAAGCCCAGTAGTAATTAATGAAATGCTATGATGGCTCGATCTCGTAACACAACGACCTGGCGGTGGCGGTTCCTTCTTCTTCGCCCTTCCTCCTCAAGGGCGCCAGAATCCGACAGTTGCTGCGCAACAGAGGTGGGATGCGGAGGTCGAATTGAGTTGGGATTTTGTTGACGGTGGTCGGGGTTAGATTGGAGGCGGAGACATAGAGGAAATGGTCGAAAATGAAGGACAAGGACAAGAATGTCCTTTCATAAGGTTTAGGGCGATTATTTTTAAATTTTAGGGCGTCAAATAGTAACTCCCAAGCTAAATCCCTACCCCATCGCCATCACTTGGGATGGGATTAGGTGCTAACCCTTATAGTTATAGGGGTTAGCACCGTGATAACTAGCAAAAAACGCTACTAAAAACAACTAGCATGGGCCCCGGCCAGTTGGCCGGAGGAAGGTGAGGTATGAAATTTGATAATGTAATGTGGTGTATAGCTCATTATTGTATAGTTTTTTTTTGTGTAACACGTGATAAAAATAGTGAATTTTAGTAGGAAAGAGACATAAATGATGCAACGAATCAAAAATCAGCCTTATGAACCAAAATCAAGTACCTGTTACCTTGTGAAACAATATTGTATCTGGCAATATGATGAGGTGAAGTAAGTTTTATAGAAACTGAATTTCATAAAATCGAATAAAAAATCGCCTATCCCGCCGGTTTTCGGGAAATGAGCATCTCACAATCGTTGCTAGCTTTTACTCGGCCCGTTGGCCGATTAATTTTCTTTATAGAACTTTCATCTTGTCATCATTATGTTTTCTGGTTTTTGCCAAGCCATGATAAAATCTAAAGAAATCAAGAATGCACAACACGATTTTGGATAGGAACCGCCGTTCCTGTATCCCTAGAAAATGGTGGTAAACACAGACTCACCTGCCAAACTGGTTTGGATTGAGATTTTTATCGGGTATCAAGGAACCATGTGATTATAAATTAGACATGATCAAAACGGGCCAAAACTTGAAATTAAGCCTGTTTGACCGACCCATGCCAAACTCTAATTATTCTTTACTTTTAAACTTTCTATTTGAAAATAAAAAATAATGAAAGAAAAGAGATGACTGCAATTCGCCATTTTGAACATCACTAATTCGGGAATAAAACTATAGAATTTCGAAAGAAAGCTGAAAATGTTTAGTATCGTTTTAATGTTAAAAATAACCAAATAGATCTTTCTGTTTATTTTTTTACTAACAAATACCAAACGATTCCCTATAAAATACACTATAATTTAATAATTATGATATCAAATAATCACATAATATATATTTGAAATGATAAAAATTGGACTAATTGGGTTGGTCGAGGTTGAACCATTGAATAATTTTAAAATACATTATATTTTAGCCACTAAGATATAAAATAATAGCATATTATATATTATGCTAGAGAAAATAACTTGTTTTAGAATGGCAAACCCATGATGTTCATTTGTTTTACTTGATGGGCAAATCTCGTGTAGGTCAGACCCATTCAACTCTTTTGTTTTATGGTTAGCGGTTAGCCCATTAGAATCCATGCATTAGTTTCTTTTTAGCAATAAAAAGGAGTATTGTTTTTCCATTTTCATATATATTTTACCACCACGGAGAAATAAAAGGACTTAAAGAAAAAATTGACACTCCTAGACCCATTTAAATCTGCATGTGTATGGTAAGATGGCCTGTTCCACAACGGAAAAAGAAAAAAATTGGCACTCCCTATTCGATCCTTCCTACAAATGCTCCTGGAGCAGGGAATTTGAAATGGGTAAGAGTTTTTTCCTCTCTGCTATTATATGCTTTTAATTTAAAAAGATGCAACAAATGTATTTAGTGTGATTGGTTATGATGTTTGCTTTTTTTTAAAGTGGTCATCGTTCGAATCCTAGTATGTGCTATTTTTAATGAATAAAAAAAAAAGTAATTGTGAAGACCAAAATATTCTTCCTACTTTCACTCTGGATGCAGGAAATTTGAAATGGAGCTTCAAATTTTCTCATTTGGCTTTTATTTATTGTGTAGATGAAATCACTACGCATTATTATAAAATCAATACAACATCTAAGCTAAATCACTACTAACTCTTGGTTAGGACGGTGCTAACTCTTGTACAATTAGCACCGTAACCGCTCCACCATCACTTGCCTTTCACGATTTCTCCCAATTTCAACTTCCCTTCTGCGATCTGTTTCCCGAGGCCAATGGCCGAGATGATTCCTTACTCGAGTTGACTCGTCGGCTCGCTCGTCAACTCGATCCCCTTCATTTTCTTGCTCTGACGGCCCCTCTTTTCCCTCTCACGATCAATCTCCGGACAATCGGGCTCCCTTTCAGCGAGATCTGAAGGTATTATTCACATACTCCACTTTTTCTATCGCCCTACTTCTACTTCTCCCTCTATTTGGCTAGCACTCTACCTTCCTTCCTTTTAAATTTTCTATGGACAAAAGATTTGGACCCAATTCTACCGGTGGCGTGCAAAATTCTACAGGCGTTTGATATGGGCAGTGTAAGCCCTCGCTATTTACTTGTTATTTCCATATTGTTGTTGGATTACTGTGTACATTTATGTGGTCATCCGATTGAAGAAGGAACTAGGAAGAAGTACTCACTCTATCGGATCCCAGCAGGTTACTTTTATAAATTATACTTGCATTTGGTTTGCTAACCAACTAGCTTTGGGCTTACTCTTTATGTGCTCTATTGCTCTGCTCATAAAGCAGATATCAAACTACTTCTATATAGTGCTGATGTTGGGACTTTTAGGGACGAGGGTATATGTACGATAGCCCGAGACCGGGTGACTAGGATTATGATAGAGTCGTGAACTACGTTCACTTTCCGAAAAGAATATTTCCACCCTCAACAAGCCTAGGGTTACAGGAAATTTCTCCCGAGGATAAAACTATCACCACTTTAGGTTCCAGGCTCAAGAACACTAAAGCATACTTAGAAATTTTTGGAAGAAAGAAGAAGAATATGTTTGATGGTATGTGGCATCATCCACCCCACACATATTTATAGGGGCCGAATCCACGCATTGTTTCACGAAAGGTTGCCTTTATCCATACGAAAGGTTGCCTTTATCCATATGAAAGGTTGCCTCTATCCATATGAAAGGTTGCCTCTATCCATATGAAAGGTTATCCTTATCCATATGAAGAGTTGCCTCTATCCATAAGGTTATCCTTATCCATAAAATAATGCAACCGCCACTAGGCCAAAGGGATGTGTCCCTTCACGGAATTAGAATATCGGTTCGGTCGGTCTAATACCAAACCGGTTGGTCGGTCCAACCAAAAACCAGTTTGACTTGGTTAGTCCGGTTCAACCAAATTTCCAACATTCCTCCCCCATTTTAGTGTATTCATAGAATTCACTAAAATCATAACATTCTTCCAACAAAACTTAAGCATAAATGAAAATGTCGTGACGATTGAATTTTCACCTTAGTATATTACACTTGACGAATACTCGAATACAAAGGGTGTCGGTAACGATTGAACCCATTGACTCATATGAATATTCGAAGATAATATACACTTAAGTTTTCAAAACTTCTAAGCGCCTTGACACTATTATCCGCCATGTGTCCAATCCTTCTCATAAGCGCACACGAAACCAAAGTCCGGGTTTCTTGAAGCGGCTACACTTCATGCTTACGTAGGTTGAATCTCTTATTCGTGTACCCGCATAATACACTTTTTCAAAGATTCAATTAAGAAGTTTTGAACTTCATCCTCTTCTCTTATGCATGATAACAAGCACATACCTCGGGATGACAAATTTTGTGCTTCAATTTCTGATAATAAGCTTTCCACATTGAATTCAGCCTCTAACGTTGTATTAGAGGGGAATTGGGTGTCCCATTACCAGAAATTATATGGACTTTAACCCATCCCTTTCACAGACTTGATCACCAAGTCACTAGTTAACCACTTCGTCAAATGATCAACCAAATTATCTCGAGTCCGGTCACATTATATTGACACAATTCCATGAGTGATCAATTCACAGATTTTACAGTGCCTAACTCCCACATAACCATACTTGTCCTTTCACTTGACTATATGCGCGAAAGCCCAGCATAAAGAACCATCAACGACAAATATCTTACGTTAATACATCGTGATTCGATCACTTGTGCCCTCTTAGAACTATCATCCTTAGCCAAATTAACATTACTATCACAAAAGATAGTAATAGGTGAGATTGGTTTAGGCCATAAATATATGTCATAAACCAAACCTCTCAACTATTATGCCTCTTCTCTAAGAGAAACCAAGGCCAC